GAACCTAGCTGCTGTTTTTATGGATCAACTCTATTGAAAGGCTGACGCTACTGGAAACCTAGACGGCTAAGCTAATAAGCTGCGTAGCACCAAAGATACCGCTTGCATAGTAATTTGTTGTTGTGCGGATGAGCACAACTAGAAAAAACTCTCTTGAAGGGGTACTATGTATACATGAGGTAGTACTTCGAGCTAATTAATACTTTAAGATTTACTGGCAGCACTTGAATCGGATCAGCCAGATGCAATGTTTCGACAGCACCTTCAGAGGCTTTCTTGCCTCGAACTTCAAGAACACTCCGAACATCCAGGTGTGTTATGTAGCGGTTTTATGGAAACGTGGTCCTTGCAACTGTAGGGAACAAAGCTTACATGATGTTTATTCCCTAGCTTTCACTCAGGTTCAAGGCAGAGTTTACACCCATTTCCGTGGTTCTCGGCCCTTGCTGTGTGTAGTGAGGATTGATCTGCAGTTGCAGTAGCTTGCCACTTTCTCCGCTTAAAGTGCAGGAAATTAGGGCTCGACGGCAGTGACCGTGTGCCGTCTCCACGTTACTCTCACGCTGCTGCACATCCCAGCCACTCGCCTAACCATGGCCAAGCGCGCTGCTTGTCTGCGATCTCTCTTTTCTGGTTGTTCTCTACTGCTTAGTGGGTGTTTCGCATGTTTTCATTTGCTTCCAAAAGGAAATGCCCCATTTATGAGCATAATTGTATATAAGGTTGCTTCTATATACTTTCATTTAATGCTACAAAATTCTTGGCAAACTCCAGAGTTTCAAAGCATGGCTCATTATGTAACGCTAATTCTGCGACTGACCGGTAGGGCGGGCGGAGTCGAGAAGACAACCAGTGCATCACATCTCTTCCTCCCCGTTTCTATGATATTTCAACTGGATCAACTGGAGGGAGTGGCACATATTCCAGCGTTGGACCCATTCACCTCCGCGCATGGCCAGGACCACGATCTACGTAGGTGAATACACAGTCTTTCTTTGAAGGCCACGGACCGTTCCTTTAAACCAAGGGGAGTTCTCCCTCTACCAATGGCTCAGCTCCGCACGTAGGAAGCGAAATTGTAGTTTGATATATGTGCGGAGCTCGCAGCAGCTGTGAGCAGGATCTGGCGTTATCGCATTATTGTCTTCCTCTTGACTTGTTAACACCCCTTCTAATGACCCTGTCTGAGTCGATGAGAAATGGAGCTTCATCCTATAAGAAGTCAATCGCATGAGGTATAGTTTCCATGTCCAGCGTTTAGGGACGGTAGTAATCTACCCTGTCACTTAAATTTGATGACCATCTCGCAATGATGCTGAGTAACGAACTTCTTGGGCGCGTTATCCTGGTTGTTGATGGCGAGTCTCGTCACTTCGTTTGCGAAAAGTGCACACTCCGGGGATTCAAATCTCGGTCTCACCAACTCCGACCGGTTTCACATCCATTAGACCACACGTAATATTGGCAGGCAAGAGTTCTTCATGAGCCGTGTTGGAAGCAATAGTTGTCGTGAGACGTTCAGACGCGCTGTGAATCGTGGCCTTAACTTAGTGCGACCCAGCTGAGCCGCACTCAAATTGGTGAAGATTAGGGCGACGTGAGCTCACGATGATTTCGAGTTGGCCTTGACCCTTTCTGTGCGGGGTTCCGTAGATATGTTTTCCAGCGGATTTGAAACCGTTTGTTCACACTTCTCACAGAAGGATGGTTTCGAAATCATTTCGACCTAACCGTTATCTGTTAACTGCCACTTAAAGGCAAACTATTAGGTTGTCCGGAAAGTTCTCAGCGTTTTGTGTTACTATTTTTTGTACATTCATTGCTGATTAAAAACTCATTCTCCCTTGCGTCTCAGTAGTACATCCTGAAGAGAATTCGCTATCTGTATAATTGCCGTTTCACCATTGCTTGATAAACCCCTTTTCCCAAGACTTTTGAAGCATGTCAAAAGAGCAACTTCGGACGATATTTTTCTTCAACTACAAATTGGGTCAATCCGCAGTCGAGACAGCTCGAAAAATTAACCAGGTGTGGGGGCCCAATAGTGTTGGAGAAAGCACCGTGCGACAATGGTTCGACAAATTTCGTTCTGGAGCCTTGAAGATGAACCTCGTAGCGGTCGACCTAAAGCAATACCTGACGAGGATTTGAAGGCGTTTGTGGAGGCTGACCCATCCCAAACAGTTCGAGAGATTGCAGAAAAGCTAGGCGTTGGCAAATCCACTGTTGCGGATGGTCTGAAACATTGGGAAGGTGAAAAAACTCGACAAGTGGGTGCCCCACAATTTGAGTGACCGGCAGAAATTGGCACGTCTCGAGGTTTCTTCTTCACAACAGAAACGACCCGTTTTTGGACCGAATTGTCACCTGTGATGAAAAGTGGATCATGTATGATAACAGGACAGTGGTTGGATGCCGACGAACCACCGAGGCAATTTCCAAAGCCGAATCCTCACGAAAAAAAGATTATGGTCACAGTGTGGTGGTCATCGGCTGGTGTGATCCACTATAACTTTTTGTCACCAGGCCAAACCATCACAGCAGAGTCCTACTGTGAAGAAATCGACGAAATGTACCGAAAATTGCGTCAGCTGCAGCCAGCACTTATCAAAAGAAAGGGTCCGATTCTTTTGCATGACAACGCCCGCCCACACGTTTCACAAATCACTATCCATAAATTGAACGAATTGAAGTTCTACCTCACCCGCCATATTCTCCAGACCTTTCACCAACCGACTATCACCTTTTCAAACATTTTCAGAACTTCCTTGCTGTAAAATACAATAAATGTGTATTAAGAAAGTTAAGATCGTTCAAAGTGAAACGGTCAAAACGCTGAGAACGTTCCGGACAACCTGATACTACCGTCCCAGATTATTCTTACAACCGAAGGTAAACCTCATTTAAGAGAGAATTTCCTAGTTGTTAACGGAGTTAGAAAGTTAGAACTATCACCAGTTAATAGAACTGTCAGTTGATATCAAGTTCTAGTATCAGCAACATTACCATATTATCAAATTTTTAGAATAACCTGACCTTGACTGCTTTCTCTAGATATGTAAGTGCTACCGCACGAATAGTATGAGGTAGAAATACTCAAGTACCAATCTATAGTCCTTCCGCATTCGGAGGAAGAGCCCTATAACCCTTACAGTCTCCATGGAAATAGACAACATCATGGTTATACATACCAACTGCAGCAAAACAAACATCAAATATTCATGTAAAGTATATTTGTCGTCACTAAAACGGACATAATCCGTGCGATTCTCACAACTAGCTTGGAATAATATCATCTCCTCTTCTTGAATTAGGCAAACTGCATTCGTGAACCAAATTACAAAATGTCTGCAAACTCCTTTGCGCACACAACTGAAAGTATTTTGAAAAATCTCAACTGCCAGTGTTGGGCAAAAGCGATTTTCAGGGAGACCTCTCGCACACACTTGAACTGGCTGACGCTCTGAAGACAGCGACACTGGGTTTCGTCAGATGGCAAAAGGAGCACACAACGCAGAAAAAACAGACTCTTCCCGGTTTTGACAGTATCGACGAGTCGCGTGAGATGCTGCTTGTTTTCGGAACTGTAAGTGCCTTTTGGAAAATGTCGGTGGAAACTGTCCTAGCTCTTCTGCTCACTTGGCATTTCTTTTTCAGTTGTTCTGTGACAAAGATGGAGCGGAAATAGGATCACCTTACGAAGCTATGTGAGTGTATTTGATTAGAGTAGAACTTGGGAGGTATTCGTGATATTCAGAAATAGAGTCGTCCTGGCAT